AAGCTGAGTTAATTATTTCCCCAGTTCTGGAGATTAAAAAAATAGCTTTAACATCTGATTTCTGGACAGGCATATAAAGAGATTGGAAGCGACTACTCCATCCTTACAATAAAGAAAGAAAGCTGAACAAACTGAAAATCATCAGCTTTTGTCAGAGCCATCAAAGCACTGAGGTCTCAGAGTAAACCTCTGTTCTTTAATCTTGGGACAGACAGGCAAATGCAGAGAACCACAGCTTACCCAAGCAGAAGCCAACAGCTGGAGCCAGTGCTTGGACTGGTGAACTTAAAACTATAATTGACAAATTGCTAGAGACTCAATATGGACAATCTTTTTGTTGTTGTTTTGAGACAGGGTCTACCTGCCCTGGAATTCACAAGGATCCTGTCTTCTTTTCATAAGTGCCAGGATTGTAGGTGTGCACCACCATACCTGGCCCTAGTGTGGACAGTATTGGGAATTAAAACCTGTAGAGAGCTGGGAGTGGTGGCACACACCTGTAACCCCTGCAGAATTATCACCAGTTTGAGGCTGGTCTGGGCTTCATATATATTGAGATCCTGTCTTGGGAAACAACCACACAACCTCCAGGGGAATGGTTTGTTTTTATTTGTTCTTTCACAATTTTATACATATGTAACGTACTTTGACCACATTTCCCCATTATCTTCACCCCCCCACTGACTCCCTTCTTCCAAATAAATTCCCCTTTACTTTCATGTTTCATATTTTTTGATTTATTAATTTTTTTTTGAAACAGGGTCTCCCTGTAGCCCCAGCTGGCCTGGAACTCAATACATAGACCAGGCTGGCCTTGAACTCAGGGATCCACTGGCCTCTGCCTCCTGAGTTCTTGGATTAAAGGCATGAGCCATCATGCCTGGTAATTTATTAATTTAAAAAAATTTATGTGTCTATTTTGTGTGCATGTATGTAAATGCACCATGTGTGCAATGCCCACAGAGACCAAAAGAAGATGTCAGAGCCTCTGGACCTGGAGTTACAGATGGTTGCTGGCTGCCATATGGGTGCTAGAAACAGAGCCCTGGTTCTCTACAAGAGCAGCCAGTGCTCTTAATGATTGAGCCATCTCTCCAACCACCCCCCCCTTTTTGTGGCCCGATGCATTTAATTAGGTTTGCTCTCATGAA